AGATCCCTTTTTCCGAGTAAGAGTGCGTTTCCTCCAGCCGGCCGCACATCGACCCACCAAAGGACAGGCTGTGTTCTGAGCACTGACATCACAGAAACTAAAGTGAAGCTCCATTTTCCAGAAAATGTTTTTTGCCTATTCTGAACCTACGCTAGAAGCCTCTCCAGTTCCTGACCTTACCAAGAAATATTGGAGCCTACAAGAGTATTAACAACTCAGTAATTTCTAGAACTTCCCAAAGAATTTTCTAATCAAAAAGTTCATTCAAATCTCAGTTAACTTGCATTCAGTCTATGTTTTAAAACCTGATACAATTTATTTTTAGGAGCAAGTAATATTGCATTGATTGATTGACTTCACAACCTACCGGTCCATAAAAATCACCCGTCCGTGATTTACTCCAGGTAAGTGTTCACTTATCAAGCTTTAAAAACAAACTGGTTAAGACCCAAACACATACTTTTAAACGTGAACTCTTTAGCCCCCTCTTTCCTCCTAGTGCCTACAGGGTTCAGAATCCTATTAAAATGTAGATGCCACATGCCAGAGTAATTTAACTTTCTTGATACCGGAAAGTAACATATGCATAAAAAAGGTTCCCCCCCAGCAACCCTAGAACAACTCCTCCCCAAACTAGTGACAGGCCCCAGCTTCCCCCTCCTCAAAGTCTGGCCCTGGACTCTCCACCGAGGCAGAAGAACGGGAAGTGACAAGAAGGCTTCAGTTAAATCTAGAAAAAGTTCCCTGCCAACACTAGGGGACTGTGGGCAGGCACAGAGAGTTCTTAATTAGGAGACCTACAATTAAACACAGTCTCAGAGGCATGGAGTGAGGATGTGATGCCTGGGAGCAAGCAAAGACCGAGGCACCCCTTTCAGGGGCACCCCTCCAGCCTCGGGGCCTGGAAGGCCGAGCGAGGGGAGTCTGCACAGCTCGTTGGACAGGGCTCCAAGGTGAGCGGGCAGATGAGAACTGAGTCAGGGCCGGGGTATTTTCTTTTCCCAACTTCCAGGCAGAAGATGAATCATGATTTTGTGAATAATGACTCCCTACAGGAGCCTGTGCCTTAAGGTAATTAGATGGAAGGTAAACTACCTCAAGTGGTTCTCAGTGAGGGGGATGTTCTAAAGACCACCTTCTGATGCTCAGTACCAACCAGAGCACCACCTCTCAGAGCGCGATCACAGCCACCCCCTGGTGGCCATCACGCTGGATTCACAAATACATCCGTTTCGGGATTCTTTTCATTGAGAAGCTCACACGTCTAGACTCGACGCAGGGCTGGGCAAACTTTTTGACACGAGGGCCACAATGGGTTCTTAAACCGGACCGGAGGGCCGGAACAAAAGCATGGATGGAGTGTTTGTGTGAACTAATACATGTTAACACTGCTGCTGGTGAAGGAGCGGGGGGGAGAGCAAGAGAACCCTCTGCTCTTTCGGCTCCGCGGGCCGGATAGAACAGCCGAACGGGCCAGAAAAAAGACCGTACCCTTTTATGCAATGATGTTTACTTGAATTTATATTAGTTCACACAAACACTCCATCCATGCTTTTGTTCCGGCCCTCCGGTCCAGTTTAAGAACCCATTGTGGCCCTCGAGTCAAAAAGTTTGCCCACCCCTGGGCTAGAGGAACACAACACCGAGTCTGAAAGTAACTTCCCCTTCGAGCCATGAATCCACAACACTGAACCATGAAGACAGATTTAACCAAACAAGAGGGACTCTAAACACCAGATGAATTGTTTTTAAAATTTGATCATTTTTCTTATACTTAAAATCAGTCAACTTCAGCAAAGAACTTTTCCCAACAGGTAAGTCCTTATATTTTGTTCACTCAAAGAAAACTTTCCTACCATTGATAGTTCCCCTCCCAATGATGCCAGTTAAAGGGGCAAATGTACAATCTGACATTAAAAATAACCGAAGACCTAGCCGGTGTTGCTCAGTGGGTAGAATGTTGGCCTGCAGACTGAAGGGTCCCGGGTTCGATTCCCATCAAGGTCACATGCCCGAGTTGCAGGCTCGATGCCCAGTAGGGGGCATGTAGGAAGCAGCCGGTTAATGATTCTCATCATTGATGTTTCTCTCTCTCCCTCTCTCTCCTTTCCTCTCTGAAATCAATAAAAATATATTTAAAAACAAGAAAAAAATAGAGGCTCTCTGACTCTGACTCTAAATAAACTCAGAATAAGAAATTCTGACTTCACCAAAAGATGAAGATAATAGAAAGCAATCAGAGCACTGGGGTAGAAGAGGACTGATGAGCTGATATGTGAAGCTCACCTTTTCATGTCACAGGTCAGAGGTTCGAGGGTAAAATCAGTGAACCGCCTGAGGCCCCACGACTGCAGGTGAGTGTGAGGAGAGCCGTGCCCACTGGCTCCCACTGCGGCCCAGTCCCTCGCTGCCTTTTCCTTCTCCCTGCGTAGCATTTGCTGCGCGGGCAATGGAGGAGCAACGCCCACTCCTGCCCATGTGCCCGATAAACAGGGAAAGAACTGCAGAATTCTCCATCTTTCCAAAGCACAACCCAAGCTCGCACCTCAGTCTCTCTCAAAGGAAAGCAAACACACAACGTGCGCACTGCACTTCAGCTCCCCGTCTCTGAGTGCCTACGGATCAGGCACAGCTGCAATTCGGTGTCCGCTAATTTCTAATTAAGCTTTGCCAAATTTTATGAGCAGGGTGGAAAGTTTGCTTTTAATGTTTTGTGAGGTGGTAGGGGAAGTAATTGAATTATGAAGTTACTAAACAGAGACTCATTGTTGATAAACCATTTCTGGGGTTTATATCAAAACAGCTCCAATTCCAGCTGGCGGAGATGTGTCCTATGTATTTAGATGGCAGAGTAGAGGGACATTAACACCACCTGAGACAACCCTCAGTACCGCGGGCCCTGACTCTGGCCAGGCGACAGGAAAGGCCCAAAAACACGGCTCTGGGATTCCTGCATGACAGCGCTCAACAAACACCAAACTTTATGCCCGGCCTGTATGGCTCATTGGTTGAGCATTGACTTATGAACCAGGAGGCCACGGTTCGATTCCTGTCAGGGCACATGCCCGGGTTGTGGGCTCGATCCCCAGTGTGGGGGAGGGGA